GGATGTTCTTCAAGTCACTATACGCAAAAATGTCACCAAAATCATCAAATGGAGTCAACTCTTGTCCTTCGAGCTCTTATATAATAGTATCTTCATTATGAGATCTGCTTTCAAGTGTCTTCAGTTTGACGAATTTATCGTTTTCTGCATTGCCAGGAATATCTACCTTCCATAGGTTCAACTTGTTGGCATCAAAATTTTTGAAATTGTTCTTATTCTTCTCATAGATTACTTCTCTTAGTTTTGAAATACTCATTCCTGCCTGGCCTCCAACTTGAAAGGAGCTCTTAACTTTGGTACCTACCACAAAACAAAATATCATGATATTGCTGGTATACCTGCAAACGCGTAAATCGAGATTTTCCAGTAAGTACAAATAAAGACCTTGTTAAAGGACTGCTTAGAGGACTGCTTAACGGACGTTTCTTTCCATTCATTTTTATACATGAGTCCGGATTCTGTTTACATAATCTGTTTCAAAAAAAAATACTATACATATGAACACTTACCAAATTTATACATATTCTAGGTGATCTTTACTACTATACGTCACGATTGATTTTGCGACACAGCCGGCATTTTTAGAAAATAAATGCGTAGTACTATAGTTCGCCTGTGCAGTTTAAAAGAAGCAATGGGCTCGCAAGCGAATGCCATTTTTCGTAAAAACCTTCGGTGGGGTTTACTATAACTGATAATACTGGGATAATGTGTATTGGTATTGTAGACAAGCGAAAAACTATAGAAATTAGTATAGAAACGCCATTTTACTTTGTAAACAAGTTTATGTAATTTATTTTTACATCAATAAATCATTAATTCCGATCAAGATATTACCTCATTTTTTTTATCCATGCTAATGAACTTTTGAATTATTCCATCTTATATAAAAATTATCATCGAACATGCAATCCAACGATTCATTAAGAGAATTAAATGCCAAGCTCTTGACTGAGATTGCCAAATTTAGGAAAGAGAATACTGAAATTCCTGAACTTAGAGAGAAGCTACTAAGATTTGCTGAGGTTGAGGCTGATAATGCGAGGTTAAAGCAAATTATTGAAGAAAATGTAAAGCGTGATGCTAAAGTCGAGGAATTAGAGCAAAAGAATAAAGAGCTTGAGACCAGACTCGCTATGTTAGAACAGGAAGAAAAAGGTATTTCTACAAAAGATGTTTCGCGATCTCCAGTAAATTCTAACGATACTCCGGCATCTAATATATCTGATAATACTTCAAATTCTAATATTACTCCTGAACGAATAGAAAATATCTCTGATATAAGATCTGATTCTGATACATACCAGAAAAAGAATAGCCGATCCTCCACGTCTTCTATTACTATAAAAACTGCATCATCGGAAGAGAAGAAAATTAATGATTTCCTGGATAGCGTACATAAAGAAACGATTAGTGAGAAAATAAGAGAAAAGAACCGGGAAAAGAATCTTAGATCTCAAGACAAAGTACAGAAAATCATGTCATAAATTTCTGAAAACTCAAGTTCTATTAATAATGATAATATAGATAGGGATGTGACAACTACTACCCAGGATAAAGCACCCAGCGATACTAACTTTAAAAAACTTTGTGATGCTATAATTCTTGCAGATCGTAAAACTCAAGAAGCTATCGCGTGTTATTGCCTATTTTGAAAGGCACGTATTCAATGACGTAATGAAATAGGCAAGTTAATCCAGAATTCAATACTGTTAGTAGAATTTTAAATAAAGTAAAATCACAGTTACCTACAGACACTTCTGATAGCCTTTTATGTAAGAGAATTGAAAAAGCAAAGAAGCTTTGTAAACTTTTTGATACAATAAGTATGGATAAAATTTATTGCATTCATTTCTTTTCTGCTAACAGTATATCTAAATTAATAAAAAAAGAAATAGATTAAATTAGATTATAAAGAAATTTATAGTATAGATAATATATAAGATTACATAATTAATATATAAATTAAATAAAAAAAAAAAACTCTTTCCCGTACACAACATTTTTCTTAAAAATTTCCTTTTATAGTAATTTTTCTCCAAAAT